GCTAATATGAAGTATTTAATTTGGAATGAATCATATCTATATTTGAAAATTGTTATCGCATGAGAATAAAATGAGATTTATATTTGGATATCATTTTGGTTAAAATTGATAGACTTTACGTTCTTGTGAGAAATATAATATTTTAATGTTACGTGCATTATACTTGGCAAAGTATGGTTTGAAAATTTTCATGTGAACATGGAACAGATATTATTCACAGTATGAGTTCCCCTACTTATGAAGATGTGTATTACGGTAGAATTGACTCATTCTTCTAGAGTAGTACAATAGCAATGGCTAAATTAATAGTACTATGTTGATTTGTAAAAAGAAGTTTCAAAGTATACAAAATAAGCTAATTTAGATAAGAAAAAAAATTAAGCTAAAATTAATTGGGAATGTGCACTTCCCCAGCTGTACTTCCTCGTAATTAGTCTTAATTATTTAACTAACGAACTGATGAAACGTAACGAAAGCATTACAGCCACTCATTTGCATTTTGGATCACTGTGTTCTACGATTCTTACTCCAAATTTTCTTTTGGTGTGAGGCACCTTTAGTTTAAAATTAGTTGGAGATGACTCGTGCTTGGTAAACAAAATTAATGCTTCAACATAAACATTCTGAAGATTGTTTTCTCTAAAAAAAAAAAAAAAAAAAAGGTTATGAAGGGATCATTTACAGAAAATTACCATAAGACTTTTCACATTGATCATTCACATAAATTTATATTTTATTTTTTCATGTGTAATTATTTACTCAAAGTTTTACGTAATTACCATATATTGACATCATTTTGCAAAGTTGTATACTACGTGACTCGGCCGACACATGCATACACATGCAACGCACGTGTCGAGAAACTAGCTATATTAAAAATAGGAAGCCCTTAATTTAAAAATTAAATTACATATTTGCCCTTTAAAAAAATCTAATTATCCTACTTATTAAAAAACTCTACGCTTAGTAGTATACAAAGGGATGCGTTGTTTCGGACAAGTTATGTTCCTCATTCATATGAAAGGATGTGTTCCTTCAGAGAAGTTTCAAATACTAGATTTAATCTCCAACTGTTGTTTCCCCAAAATTTTTATTTTTTTCACAACAATCAAGAAATTTAAGGAATTATATATATATATATATATATATATATATATATATATATATATATATATATATATANTATATATATATATGTTTGTCTTTTGGAAAAGAAGAAGGAAATGTCGACGAAGAATTTAGCGGAAGTACAAAGTTGGTGACGAAGCCTGATCAATCTCTAATTCAAGGAGGAATCAGATCTTTTACTGTTGGGGACTTGTAAAAGTTTCCTGAAAATTTTGGTAGTTTACTTTACTTGGTACAGGCTCACTTGCCAATTGGATCTGATCAAAAGTTCAAGGATTGACTTCTGATTGAAGGAGGCAGTTTAATATCCAATGTACTCTGTTGAAATTACTACAAATTAAAGTCATTCTTTGTTGGGATTGGACAACGTAACACTTCTTTACAAGATTCTCCTTGGCTAGAACCTGGCAGTATTAGTTTTTAGTAATGTTGTGCGTAACGGATAGGTCATCGGAGAAAGTTTTCTCATGAAATAATAGAGTGATGGATTACCAAAAGAAACGACAAATTACACACATGCTGCTATAAAGGATAGAATTGTATCGTGCAGAAACTTGGAAGCCAGGAAGTGAAGGAATTGAAGAGCGAGAGCGTAATTCCTTTTTCATTCTTCACTCTTCTTTTATTTTCCTTTTTCTTTTTTTCCCTAAAACTATAATCAATTATCCAATTTCACTAAATTAACCAATACTCCTTCATTGCTATAAACAGCCAAGAGAACTTGTGGAGTTGCATGTAATTAGTCAATGCAGATTAGTTTGTTTCTTTACTGCATGGGCCCATGTGTAAGGAGTCATGGCAACAACCTTTCCTCTTACTACTTATATTAGGATCCAATTATGGGATGTAAAGTATCATAATGAAGTTCTCTTGAAGAAAATTTGCAACTCCCTTTCGAGATGGTAATGTCTGTTGTTTTATATTTCAATACAACACAAGAGGGGTGATTTGTGTGGTACCCAATTTTTGCTTAGCTGAACTATAGAAGGATCTGGTTCTTCTATGTGTTCCAACTACTACTGTTTGCGGAATAAGAAGTCAAGAAAATAAAGAACACTGAGATATTTACGTGGAAAACACCTGGCTCAAAAGGTGAAAAACCACAACCTACTACTCAGTAGGATTTTCCCAAACTTCCACTAAAATCACTGAGCCAAAATAGCATTTACAAAACTCTTTGTAAACCTAAGGATTAACTATAATCCCGTTGTGGCACACAGCCTCAACTGTTGCGACAACTTCAAGTTAAATCTAACTTGAACACTCTAGGTACCTGATACAATTGCTTCTATGAAAGTTGAAAGGTACAATGTAAAATCACCTACTACAATTGAATTAGAATAAAAGATAGACACTTGGAACTGGTTCTTCTATCTTGTTCAAGTAGCTTCAGGATTGCACGCTTGAATCACACACACCTACAAGAAATGAGGTTTTTAGTGACGGATTTCAACAACGACTATATTATTCGCCACAAAAAGTAGGTGATTTAGTGGCGATGTATTAAATTTGCCACAAATAATTACACCTTTGGTGACAACAATCATAGTTGCCATGAAAAGGGTACTTTTAGTGACAAATAAACTTAGGTCGCAACAAATACTTGTAACTATACCGTTAAATTTCACTTTTCCGCAAAAATAAAAATTTGATGTAAAAGTTTTAGTAGCAATTCATAGATAGTCGCCATGTATAAGAATGCGTGGCGACTTAGTCGCCACAAAAACTGTAATTTAAATTCTTTAAATATAATAAAATTAAACTTTTTCGGAAAACAGAGGGGGAAAACGCAAAGTTGTTTCCCGCAAAACCAATAAGTCAGGAACCAAAAAAAAATCCTACAATTTTGTTTCAATAAGGTAAAAAGATCTCTTTTCCAACTACAATTCTTCCAACTAAAAAAAAAAACCTAAGGAGAGAAGTTCTATATGGTGCAACTATGTACAATTCTTGCAAAAGTAAACAAGCGAAGTTCTCTGTGCTCACATCGATCAGAATTCGGCCCTTTCTCTGCTCAGATTTCTCCAGGCAATATATTTTTCCCTCTTTATGTTTTATGTGAATTCAGTCGAAGTATTCCAAAAATCTTGATGTTATGGTTTTCTATTAAATTGGTTGAGTTGATTTTATGGATACTTCCGATCAATCAAATTGAATTTTCTGTTATATATACTGATTTTGACATGCTTATGCTTCATATTTACATCTATTTTTAGGAATAGTTATGTATTAGTTGCGGCTGATAATCACATCGCTTACTGGTTTACATGGGCGCATGCACTTTATATTTTCCCTCTGATTAATGCATGTTTAGTGCGAATAATGCCTGTAAAGTAGACAGTATTTTGCTAACTGAAGCTATATAGGTGGCGAAGCTATACCTTAGGAGGCCTGTTTTCTTCTTTTATTTTAATTACATGCTAAATTTTACTACTACTCTACTAACTACATATTGATAACATATTATTAAAAAAATTATGCATATGTAAAAGATTTTAGCATTATTAGTATAGCTTCATCTTTTTTAGTCGAGGGTTGCTCTCCCAGGATAGAAGTAAGGCTGCGTATATTCTACCCGTTTCGGTGGGTGTATATATTAGTTAAACTCATATTATTAAAAAGAAAGAATGTGGTAAGTTATTTAATTGCTAACATAGAATAATTAATTAGAACATTCTACAAGGTTTAGTTGTCGTTATTCCTGTTTGGTACATATCCAAAGCCATTTCTAGTAATAATTAAAGTAGATTATTATATTATCTGTTCATCACTCTGGTTATTCGATGACAGCATTCGTCGTAAAAAGATGGAACACAACATGCACAAGAAAACATGGAAGATCTGTTCATCACATTGTTTAGTACGATTAGTGTCAGCTATTTGACTTTCTTTGTCATCCCCTGCTGGTTTATGTCCAATAGTAGAACAAGTATAAATTTGCATAATTAGTGAGAAAGTAATCTGCACATTTTAATCCATAGCATTAGATATTATATTTAATATTAAGTTTTGTCCCTTAGAATTTAGGATAATTGTTTGGAGATCGATCACATGTTATTGTCAACTTATTTGATTTCCTATGTAATTTAGTTCTTTGTATCCTATGTTATTTGATTTGCTATGTAATTTATTATTTGATTTTCACTTTAGAGGTGAATTAATGTTAGTTATTGTATAAGACTAGTTTTTAGAATATTCAATGTGTTCTCATTTACTATGTTTCTAAAGTCTTATATCCTAGTGTTTGTACTCGTATAGATGAGTTCAACACTTTCTTATATAACGTGGTTAGTTTTGATTAGTGACGTGCTTACATTTTTTATTGCATTTTTTTGTAGAAAATAGCAATGGATAAAAGTTGGCTGAATATTAAGAATAAATGTGATAAGAGGTATATTAAAGGAATAGATAACTTTCTTAATTGGGCATACAGTCAACCAAATGTGAGTACTGTGATCAGATGTCCTTGTAGAGGGTGTAGAAATACAGAGTACATGTTAAAAATCCAAATAAGAAGACACTTGTTGAGCAATGGGTTTTGGGATAGTTATAAAGTGTGGGACTTGCACGGAGAGGTGTTGGTAAGAGTTGAAAATTCTGATGTGATAAACAATGATGAAGTAGAGGATGATAATGCTGAAGAAGATGATATTACTGGGATGATTCATGATGCTTATGGATATGCGAATACAGCTGATGCAAATAATCTTCCACACCACAATGAAGAACCAAATTTGCAAGCACAAAAGTTCTACAAATTACTTGAAGATGCTGAGACAGAACTTTATCCTGGTTGTAAAAATGTGTCCAAGTTGTCTTTTGTGGTTAGACTACTTCACTTGAAGTGCCTTAATCATTGGACCAACAAATGAATGGATGACTTGTTGAGCTTCTTTAAAGAAGTTCTTCCGGTGGAGTCATTTGTTCCAAATTCTTTCTATGAAGCAAAGAAAGTACTTCGAGACTTAGGCTTGGGGTACACCAAAATAGATGCATGTCAGAATGATTGTATCTTATATTGGCGCGAGCATGCCTATGCACAATCATGTCCTGAGTGCGGTGAGTCTAGATGGAAGTCAAAAGAGAATGGAGGCAAGAAAGTAGCTCATAAAGTCTTGCGACATTTTCCTATCAAACCAAGACTGCAGAGATTATACATGGCAAGAGAGACAGCAAAAAAGATGAGGTGGCATAAGGAGGAACGTGTTGATGATGGTATCTTGCGACATCCGTCTGATGCAATGGCATGGAAATCTTTTGAAGAGAAACATCCCAGCTTTTCTGCTGAATTAAGAAATGTTCGATTAGGTTTAGCAAGCGATGTGTTCCAGCCTAATGGGAACATGAGTTCCAACCATAGCATATGGCCAGTCGTACTAGTTCCGTATAATTTACACCCCTCCCCCCCTCCCCCCCGGATTGCATGAAGAGTAAGTATTTCATGATGACACGTCTTATTCCAGGTCCTAAGTGTCCAGACAATGATATAGATGTATATTTACAACCGATGATTGAAGAATTAAAAGAATTATGGGAAGGAGCAGAAACTTATGATGCATACTCAAAATCTAACTTTATGATGCGTGCGGCTATCATGTGGACAATTAATGACTTTCCTGCATATGGGAACCTTTCAGGATGGTCAACCAAGGGCAAATTTGCATGCCCTTGTTGCCACAAAGATACACAATCGATTTCATTACGTAGTAAATTGTGTTATATGGGGCATCGTTGCTTCCTTCCATTAGACCATCCATGGCACAAAAATAGGAGGTTATTTGATGGGAAAGTGGAAAAGGGAGTTGCACCTAATCCTTTAACAGGTGATGATGTACTTATGCAACTACAAGGGTTGGGCAATGTGACTTTCGGTAAAGGGCAAAAGCGAAAGTGTAATGCCCCTAATAATGCTTACAATTGGAAGAAGAAAAGTATTTTTTTCGAATTGCCATATTGGAAGACACTTTTGTTACGACATAACCTTGATATGATGCACATAGAAAAAAATGTGTCCCATAACATTTTATCAACTGTGATGAATGTGGTTGGGAAGACAAAGGACACCTTAAAAAGTAGGTATGATTTGGTGGACCTTGGTACTAGGCAAGGTTTGCATCCAATTCATGATAGGAACAATGTGTTGTTACCAGCAGCATGCTACGCATTATCCCCAGAAGAGAAGCTGAAAGTGTGTAATTTCTTAGCTAATTTGAAGGTTCCTGATGCCTTTTCATCGAATATTTCTAGGTGTGTCAAGGTTGAAGAGAAAAAGATACATGGATTAAAAAGTCATGATCACCATGTATTATTGGAAGATATTTTTCCATTAGCAATTTATGGTGTGTTGCCTAAGGAAGTGAGTGAACCAATTATCGAAATAGGAAAATTTTTCAAGAATTTATGTTCTAAGTGCTTGACAATTGAAGATCTTGATATCTTAGAGGCTGAAATTGCTATCACATTGTGCAAGTTCCAAATGGTTTTTCCTCCTGCGTTTTTCGATGTCATTATTCATTTGCCCATTCATTTGGCAAGAGAGGCAAAACTAGGTGGACCAGTTCAATATCGGTGGATGTACCCTTTTGAAAGGTAACGTGTTATCCTTTAAATTTCAATATTATAATTTCAGAATGTCACATTGTTTTTAACTAGTCATTTGTATACAGGTATTTGCAAATACTTAAGTCGTATGTTCGCAACTATGCTCGTCCTGAAGGCTCAATTGCAGAAGGTTATTTGGCAGAAGAAAGCCTCACATTTTGCTCGCGCTACATAAAGAATATCTCAACCAAGTTCAATAGGCCAGCTAGGAATGATGATGAATCTGTGTCACATGGTGAGATATCTATCTTTAAAAATAGTGGACGAACAAAAGGTGGTTCAGATTCGGCCCCACTATCTCGTGATGAGGTAAACCAAGCATCCATATATGTGCTTCAAAATTGTGAAGAAGTTTGGCCGTTCCTTGAGTATGTTTCTGGAGAACTTCAAGATAATTTTGTGTTAGAATAGTTCAATTATGTTTTCCTAACTAACCCATTATTAAAATGTAGGGAACACACTAGAGAGATGGAAAGACAAAGTGCAATAGGGGATGGAAGGCAGAACAATGACTTTTTTTATTGCTTTCGTGCACATGTAAGTGATGAATAAAATGACATGTTGAATATTAATGTTATTATCACATATGTTATTAATTACGAGAGTATTGTTTGTCTTTTGTAGATCTTACAACTATCTGCACAAGGACATGCAAATGATGATCTCATAAGCTTAGCACTCGGTCCTGGACCTCTAGTGCTTCGATGTTCCACATTAATGGTGAATGGATTTAGATTTCAGACAAGAGATATAGAGTCGAGAAGAAAAACACAAAATTGTGGAGTTCTTGTTAGAGGAGATGATTCAGACTCAACAAATGAGTATTACGGTATATTGGAGGACATTTACGAGTTATCTTATGTGAGAAATAAGAAAGTTTACCTCTTCAGGTGTCATTGGTGGGATGTGGCTCACTTAGGAAAAGGATATAAGATTGAAAAATATGGCTTCACAAGTGTGAATACCCATTGTGCCTTGAATACAAATGAGCCATTTGTGTTGGCATCTCAGTGTGAACAAGTTTTCTATGTGGACGACATGTCTAACAAAGATTGGTTTGTTGTTGTGAAGACAAATCCTTGTGACCTTTTTAATATGCCTGAAAAGGATATTAATTCTACAGAAATTGAAGATGAAGTATTATCGAGTGAAGATTCTTATCAACAAGAGCAAGTTGAGATTAATACATCGCGCATTCATGCTCAAGAAATTGATATTGTGGTGTCCTTATATAGGGATGATGTTGAACCACAAATTATTGATTATAACCAAGCTATTGAAGCTCAGACAACTGTGCATAATGAGGATGATGGTTTCATTAATGACGATCACATGGATCTATATAATAGTGAACAAAGCGATGAAGAGTTACTTGATGATAACGATGGAGAGGACACCGACATAGATGATAGGGATATGGAGTGACCAAATAGATAGCTTTCGTGTTTCATTCTGTGGATTCTTATCAGTAGCTTCTTTATCCCCCTTATTATTCTGCGATTCAATGAACCTTCATCTTAATTACTACCTTTAATATACTGGAATATCCCTTTTACTTTAATATGTGATGATGACTTGAATTTTATAGCTTTTCTAAGCTTCTAAATGTACATATACAGCAGTTGTTGAGTTTAAGAATGATAGAAATCTCAATAATGGCACGATCCTTTACTAGACAGATATGGATCTTCACCAGAACTTTGATTTTTGTTTTCATATTTTTTATTTTGAGATATTGTAGGAAATGGTAGGATTTGGACGAGGTAGAGGTGCACGAGGTGGAGGTGGAGGTAGTCGTGTAGGTGGCAGTATTGGAGTTCGTGACAGTTCTACAGCGACGTCATCCTACAGGGCTAATGCACCATTGACACGGCTTGAGCGTTCTTCTCAACCACAAGCATCTCGGGTACAAGCATTAGTACCTTCAGAGACCAGACATTCAAGTCAACCTTATCAAGAACCTAATGGATCACAGTCATCAAGAATTGTTGTCGAAAGTGCGCATCCCACTGTAGAAACTGAAAGTGATGCAGGTTAGTTCTCTCAATCTTTCTGTTAACTAATTAACAACTCAATTTGTTTAGTATTTCTTGCAATACTGGTGAAAATCTTAAGACAAACATGTACTATTAATTCGTTTAATGTGCCAAGAGATGGAATATTATTGGAGATGTCTACAACTTACATATTAGTTTCTGTTAAACTGAGTGCGGAACGGACGAATTAGATTCAGGGCTAGAAAACTTGCTATGATCACCACAAATCAGTAAGTACAATTCAGAATCCCTACCCTTTCTCTAAAGGTTAATTGTTATGTGGCCTATTCTTCTGCCATCAGTTTGGCTAATTACTGTCTTTAACTTCTAATATTTCATAGCTTAAGAAGATGGTCTTATATATACCTGTTTCTTTTAGAGCAAAAAAGTACACAAAATGAACAAAGAACCATTAGCGATCCCTTGAATCATGTGAAAACAACATTCTGCTCACATTATCAGCAGACACAAATGGATGTTAGAATATTTGGAGATTTCATGTTTCAGTTGATTTTTTCTAGGTCAAATTATATGTTATCACTTTATCTCTCGTGTTGCTTAATACTCATTATGTGTTCATGATTTTATTTCGATTATTAAATCCTCTAGATAATTGTCTCTTTTCCTGTTTGACATATTGTGATGGTGGGTTGGGGGGGCATATCAAGTAGATTAGTCCTGGTTTTTCTTATTTTTCATCATATGAGAGTTTCAAATTCACCTTATTTTCATATCATCTACAAGACTGTTGATGATTTATTAGTCAATTCCTTTGGCCATATGGTTGGTGGATGTTAAGTGGCTAATGCTTTGAGAACATAACATAATGTTGACTAGTAGCACTGCTTGAAGAGTTTCTTTGTTTTACACGATCCTCCCCGTCTCTAATTAAGGATGACCCGCTATGTTCTTGTTGCACCTATGGAGCAACCTTAGACTGTAGAAGGGAAATAATATTGTCTTATTGTCTTTTGGAATTTTAGAACACGAGCTTTGTAGTTGAGACTAGTATCTGTTCTTTTTTGCTCCAATTCAATTAAGTTTCAGGATTTTGTCACTGCAAGGTAATCTTGATGTAACAGATATTTCTAGTAACTATTGGTTAATGACTGATTTACAGAATGAATGGGAGAATAATATTGGGCCGGCGCTGATATTTCACTATTCCTAAAGCTGGAAACAGGTCAATCAGAGACTAACTAAGCCAAGTCATACCTAGTGTTAACCTTTTAAATGGACAGGGTATTGTTTTCCCTTTTCTTATAGCATGGCAAAAGAAGTGCAACAGGAAGAATTTTGTGTGCTTGTGCAAGCAGTACATTCCTTCTAAGAATAGGAGATGCTGCATAATTTTGTGCCTATGAAGGTCATGTGTCGTTTTATGTGGCTTTTCGATTTTTCGAATTCCAATCTTGCTAATGTTCTTAAGATCTAAAGATTCCTAACTCTTTTAGAGGCCAGGAGATCAAATGTACTGTTTGCTTCTGACTGTTAAATAATACTGACTGTTGAATACGAATTTTACTACTGCTTGCTTTTGAAACTAAACAATTGCAGCAACTCATCATTAAATATTCCTATTCTGGATGCTATATGATTGTTAAATATATATTCTTTTGTGCGCAGCTTCTTGCAAAAAATCCAATAAAGGGAGAGGGAGATACAAATCTTTACTTGTAGATTTGAAAACTAAGCATGGTAGTAAAATTCCTATTGTCATTCCAGATGACGTTGAGAGAGCTGTAGGTCCCGGGTCTAGGGACATTGTTAACTATTGTGGTTTGATTATGCGCAACACTATCTCATTCAGAGATGGTGATTGGCAAGAAATAATCACAAAACATGGAGATGCGATGTGGTTGAAGGTTAAGGTAATAATTTGTTAATAAAGGTTCTATCGACTTTTTATCACACGTTTTATTTACTCTCAAAAGCTTTTCGTATTTGCATTTAGGATAAATTTGAAGCTACCGGAGTTTGAGAGCATGTATTGCAAGCTCTTGTGGTCAATACTATGAAAAGACTTTTTAGAACATGGAAGACTCGATTGCATGCTGAATACTCTCGCTATGCTACTGATGAAGAGAGATTATCTCATAGGCCAAGTGATGTTACACCTGAGGATTGGGTGTTTCTGGTCGGACATTTTGGAAGTCTGGAATTCAAGTTGACTTGGTAATATAAATATGTGACAAATTACTATTTCAATTCCGGTTCTTAATTTATGGATATAATTTCAGGCTGTGAGTGAGCGTAACAAAATAAACAGGGAAAAACAAATCACTAAACACTCATGTGGCTCAAATTCATTTGCTGAAGTGGAGGAATCAACGGTACGAATTCATTTAGCACAATAATATTTCATATATTTGTCATTCGTTTTTAGGTCGGATTGGTTTTGATCAATGATCATATAATTAATATCAGCTTACTTTTTTGTCAACAAATTAAACTAATAAGAAGTACTTATAATTCTGGAAGATAACATGGTAGCTTTACGCATCTGATCATCAATCAGCTAGATATTATAGGAATGTTTCTCAAAAATCAGGAATTCTTGATAGATCTAAAAAAGGGGGAAAAAATGGAAAGTGGTAAAAATATACCTCGGCATGACCTCGACATAGTTGTCAAAACCTAATGAACTGAGAGCCCAACAGATGTCATCTCCATTAAACGTCCTACGATTCTCCTTATGACGCTTGTCAGATGCTTCCCCAGTAACCAAACTTATAAACTCTGATGCACATTCTTGAATTGTCTCTTTAGCTTCTTTGCAAATTTTGGCAGTTGGTGGTAGGATTTGTTTCATTATCCTTCCCACATTATGTACTTAAATAGTTTTCCTCTACTTTAATAAATCGTAGAGAAATCCTGTTAATGGAAAAAGGGCACCACCGGATCGAGTTTGGGAGCTCCAACATACTCGTAAGAATGACAAAGATGAACTAGTGTGGTCAGATCCACAGTCGCAGCAAATTCATGTAATCTCCTGAAATTGTATTTTACTTATTTTATTTTATGTCTCCTATTTTATATCATAAATTGTTATGCATAATTGCAGGGGCAGCTCCAAGAAATTGTGGAGCAACAACAATTTGAAGAAAATCCGATGAATGCAGATGAGGTTTTAGTCACCGTACTTGGCGAACGAACTGGCTATGTTCGTGGGAAAGGGTACGGAAAAAGACCTGCAAAAAAGAGCCGAGTGCAGCAGGTAGAATTAGAAGCAAGTATGTCTTCTGCAATGGAAAGTATGTGTCAAGATATGCAAGCTGAAATGGACAGAAAATTACAAGAAGAACGTGAACAAGCTGCTGAGTTGCAAAGAAAGTTAGAAGAACAAATGGCTGCTGAATTGTCACGGAAGCTAGAAGATGATCGTTTTGAGTTACAAAGAAAGCTAGAAGAATATCATGCTGAGTTGCAAAAGAAACTAGATGAGGAGCGCGCACACATGAATCTACAACTTGACAAAAGATTTAAAGAGCAGATGGCTACGATGATGGCTAGAATTCAAAAGGTAAATGCTAATGTTTCTATACTCTACAAATGTACTATACAACTGTTAATACAATGCTGCTAGTTTCATTTCACATATTAGTTTCTGTTAAAGTATGTATATGAATCGAAAGTATAAAAATTCAGATTACAACTACTAACATACTTTGAAACCTTCAACACTACAAAAATATAAAAATTCAGTTCATATAGCCTCTCTATAATCGCAACTCTCTGTTCTGTATAATGTATAATGTGACCGTTGCGCAAAATTGGCACAACTCATGCAGCTAATTTATCAATCCCCTTGCTCATTTGAGTTATTGTTCATGATTCAGCTATTGAAGCCCAATGGAATTGTTTTTTTTTTAAAAGTGTCAAAGTATGCGGCATCGCTAGTAAGCGCGTTTCGATTTTCATTTTATTCTTCACAGGCTCATTGTTCATGTTACTAACTTGACTGCCTACTGCAATATGCACAACCTGCTGCTCGTCTTTTTCTCTTGTTGCTTCACCTCCTTGCTTCCCCTCCTTATTCACTCCTTTACAATTAACAACAGGACTAGCTTCCACCACATGATCATCAGCCCCCTTTGGACGTGTACCAGGTGATAATATAGCGGCAGCAGTAGCAAGCTTATCATAAGCTTGAACTATTGGATTTACAATATTGGACACCCTTGCTAAAGCCACCTTAGCAGGCAAATCTCGAGAAGGTGGATATGGACCTTTGACAAGCTGTGAAACATCACCAGCAGAGTTACCAAAAGCAACTCGATTATCATTGTTCTGATTAACAACTTCTTTTCCTCCTTTATTTTGTAACACCTGCTGCTCAACCAATTTATTTTTTTCTGCTTCCTCTATCAATTTACCTTTTGTTGCTGC